ACGGCCCCCACCCCCGCCCCGCCCCCGGCACCTCGCGGCTCCGCTGCGGCCGAGCCGCGGTCTCCCTCACGGCCGCAGAAGAGTGGCGGCGGGCAGGGCGACCGCCGGCGCTCGGCTGGGGCTCCGCGAAGCTGCACGGGAACTTCCGCTCCGTCCGGCGGCACCGCCTCCGGCCTCCAAGATGGCCGTAAGGCGGGACCCGGAGCTCCAACCATTTCCGCTTCCGGCGGGGACGCGCAGCCGTTGGTCGAGCGCGCTCCCAGCGGAAGGGGCAGGACGACGGAAGCGCGCGGATCGCGCAGGCGCAATGGCTCCCGCGGCTCGGGCCTGAGAGCGCCGATCCGGGGATTGCCGCTTTCCCGGCATGGTCTGGCCACGCCCCTAGCTACCGCCGGCCAATGGCAGGGGAAAGGTCCGGTTGCTAGGGAATGCCCGGCGCCAAGATGGCGACGGCGGGCCGCGGGGGCCCGGACTCGCTCCAGCGGCGCGGGGAGTCGCCGCGGCAGCCGCCGCTGGACGGTACGGACTGCGCGCGTGGCAAACCAGCCCGGAGCCCACGCCAGCTTCCCGAGCCGCGGCCGTGCGCTGCCCTGCCGGGATGGGTGGAAAGGGAAGGACTCCCGGCCGGCCTGCCTGGTGGGTGGCGCGGGAGGCCTCGCGATCCAGTCGGGAAGAAGCCGGCCCCGAAATCCAAGAAACGCGGCCGAAATGAGCCCAGAGTCAGTCCCGGGCCGGCGGGCCGGCGGGCCCGGCACCCCCGGTGCGCCCTCGCCCTTGCCCGCCTCCGCGGCCGCCCCTCGGCCTGCGGCTCCGTCCCTGCTCCACGCCGCGCGGGTGTCCTCGGGTCCAGGAGCCAGCCGACCGCGGGAGGCTCGGCAGCGAGCGGAGCAGCGCCCGCGTCCCCATGCAGCCCGCCCTGGGCCGTGCACGGGGCGCGGCGGAGGCCCGCAGCCGAGGCACCGGGGCGGGTGGTCACTGTGGTCCTTTCCTTTTCAAACTCAGGTTATGGTGTCTTCGTATACCCAAATTCCTTCTTCCAGTATGAAGGAGAATGGAAGGGAGGAAAGAAGCACGGTAAGAAGGCTCGGTGGTCCCTCCCGCCGGCCGCCGCCTCCAAGCTGGCAGCCGGTTTTTCTGGGAGCTGGGGAGGGGGCTGCGCCAAACGTGCCCCAGCGCTGTGCCCGCACAGTGCGTGCTGCCAGCCTGCTCGGGGCCTGGGCTGCCGCCACCGTGAGGCCATTTCCCAGATCTTTGGGGTCACTGTGGCCCCTACTGTGCGCCAGAGGCTGGCGGAGCCGGGCAGGGGCGGCGGATCAGAGACACCCCGGTTCCAGCCTCGGGCACCTGCACCAGCGGAAGCCGCCGGTGGGAAATCCTCCCCGGAGTTTGCAGTTTGCTCTTCTTTTCCAGAGTGAAAATTGGCTTAATGCTTTGTTTGTGATTAGAAGAGGTGACCTACTTTTGTAGAAAATCCAAGCATTAGGGGCTGGTGAGATGGCTCAGTGGTCTAAAGCACCCACTTAGAACAAGCTAAGCTAAGCAAAGCACTGGGACCGCGGTTCAATCCCCAGCACCACATGCCAGCCAGCCCCGCCCCCTGGTGGGCTGAGCTGGCCACACACACTAAAAGAAAATCCAATAGAGGAAGGGAAGTTAAAATCAAGTCCTCTGGAATACCCTCAGCTCACAGGAGCTCATGCCAGACCTGTCTCCAGGCTCACAGCTCCAGGCACCTCCCAGCTCTCAGTGCCTGCCCCAGCACTCGGGCCAGGTGAACACTGAGAGTGTTTCCCTGTCTGGACTTCTGTTTCTGTGTGGGGATTCTGCCTGCCCAGTGTCTTCTAACCATTTTCCCCTGGAGGCTGGGCTTCTTTTTTTTTTTTTTTCTGTATTTAGGACAGGGTCTACAGGGTCTTATTGCATAGATCGGCCTTGTAATGAGCCTCCTGTTTTCAGCCTCCCAAGTGCTGGGATTGCAGGCTCCGGCCACCAGTCGCCTTCTTCAGTGCCCCGGGGGCGGGCCGGCACCTGGAACCAAACTGGCTGCTGGGCTGTACCTAAGCAGATGCTTTAGCCCGCTGAGCTAGCAGGCCAGCCCTACGCTGGGCTTTTTTAAACATGTTGGTTTTGGTATTTTCTTTTTTTTTTTTTTTTGGCGGAACCGGGGATTGAACTCAGGCCCTTGCACTTGTCAGGCAAGCGCTTATTCTACTGAGCCATCTCCCCTGTTTCAGTATTTTCTGTTTCACCTCTTGGCTTTTATTTAGTTTTTGCCACACTTCTTATCTTTGTGCAAACATCAGACATTCGGGCTCACACACAAGGCTGTTATCAGAAACTCCTGATGGGTACCTGCTTTTTAGACTGTCTCTCCCAGCGCTGTCCGTGCTGTCTGTGTGGACAGAGTTCTGCCCACGTCCCTCTGAGGATGTGGGCAGCGGGGTCTCATCTGCTGTCCGTGCCTCTGTGGCCATCCTAGCTGAGGAAGTGGATGCTCGGGAATAGTTCCGGGCTGTTTTGAAGAGTTGTGAGATAAATGTGGCATGCCTGGGTGAGTTTGTGAAGAACGCGTGTCAGACAAGCAGTGAAGACCGGGTTCTGCAGCCGAAGGCTTTGAGACGTCTCAGGGCTGCGGGCTCCTCAGCCGCACTCCCAGCCCCATCTGACTTGGCTTCGCACAATGGCATCTCTTCCCAGGTCACGGGAAGTTGGTGTTTAAGGATGGCAGTTACTACGAAGGTGAATTCGTGGACGGAGAGATCACAGGGCAAGGCTGCCGGCACTGGGCCTGGTCAGGTCAGCACTGGCGGTGGCGGACGGGCCTCTGACCCCTACCCCAGCCCTCTTGGAGAGGTCAGTCCCCACATCTGCAGCAGAAGCTGCTTGTGTAAATGGCCCTCAGGTCCCCTAACTCGAGAGACTAGCAGGGTGCAGGCTTGGGCACATGGTGTGGGCCCCGAAGCTTGCGTGGCCTTTATGCCTGGCCTGAGGCTCCCGAAGGACCCTAGAGGGGCTGCGCACTCAGCTCTGCAGGTGCCTCTGCCTTCTCCACAACGCTTTGTTGGAATAAAGTGCTACCATCCCAGACTTGGCGGTTTTCTTCTTTAAAGCTACTTCCCTGCAACCTGAGCCCAGATGGGGAACCTGCTCTTCAGCCCTCTGCCCACAGCCAGGGTATCATCCAGGCCTAAGATGTCAGGGCCAGCATGTGCTCCATGCCCATGGGAGCGTCTCCTGCATTCAGCTTCCAGTTGCCTTTTACAAGCCCAGGGAGAGGGCTGGGGAGGTAGCTCAGCTGTCTAAGCACCTGCCAGGCAAGCGCAAGGACCTGGGTTTGATCCCCAGTACTGTATGCCATGCCAGCCCTGGAACCAGGTGTGATGGCACACGCCTGTAATGCCAGCACTGGGGAGGCTGAGACAGGAGGATCACTGTGAGCCTGAACTGTGTAGCAAGACCCTGTACCAGATAAATAAAAAGATTTTTTAAAAGCCCAGGGAGGCCAGCATGGTGGTACCTGCCTTTAATCCCAGTAATCTCCAAAAGAGAAAGGGCCTGGAGACAACTGAGTGGCAGATCAGTCCCCCTGGTGTGTGTCAGGCCCCAGTAACAGCCCTAGTGCCACATACAGAAGGGCTGGGCACAAGGCCACCCCACATCATGTCCCCCAGGTGCCTGTAGGAAGGGTCACCGAGGTCAGTGTGCAGTCCTCACAGAGCAGGGAGGGGCAGGCCACATCTTGGTATTCCTGCTCCACTGACCACGCTGAGTGACGTAGAGACAAGGACACCCATTCGCTGGTTGGGATGGAGGGGACATGCCAGGCCAGTGACTCCTTCCTCATCTGCACCCAGGAAACACGTACTCCGGACAGTTTGTTTTGGGAGAGCCCCAAGGACATGGCGTGATGACGTATGGAGCTGGGGGCCGTTACGAAGGGGAGCTCTGCCGAGGCCTCAGGGAAGGTCTGATGTCCACGGAGCTCATGGGCTGGTGGGAGAACCCAGTGGCCTATCTGGGAAGCACTACCCCAGCCACTGGACTTCAGGGCTGGGAAGGGAGGTGGTGAGGGAGGGACTCACACCCTCGCTGTGCCCAGACAGTGCATCTGCAGCTCAGGCCAGGGCCCGGCACCCCAGGAGCCCCATCCTGCTGTGCGTCCCACGACACATCACACTAGTGCTCTGCTGCTGTGTGGTGAACTGCCACTTGCTAAGGGGCTCACCTAACTGCCGAGCTCTTGGGTTTTCCCTCGGGCCCCTCAGAGTTTGGGTCTGGGGGCCCTGCCTGAGGCACCCACTCAGAGCCTCTTCAAGCCAGCCTGGGCTGCTGGCATCTGCCCCCAGGCTGCCCCAGACAGTAGCCGCTGTCACGGCTCCTGCCCAAGCAGGGCTGGAAGCAGCCCTCTCCCTGAGGGGTCCTGAGCCCACTATCCTGCCCGGACTCCTGGTCCCGCTGCCACCCCCGCCAGGTGGAGCAGTCCAAGGGCTGCAGGCTGAGTCCTTCCTGGGGCAGGGCGGCAGGAGGCATGAAGTGGAACTGGAACCTTTGGCTCCCCTAGGGCAGGGGGTCCTGGTGGACCCAGATGGACAAGTGTACCGGGGCTCCTTCCATGACAACAAGAGGCACGGCTGGGGGCAGATGCTCTTTGAGTGAGTGCACGGCTGGAGGCGCGTGAGTCCTGGGGCCCCTGGGGTGGGGGGCGGCTCTGCCAGAGGTCCAGCTTCTGGATGCATCCCTTGTGGGATGGAACTCAGGCCAGCACGCACGGACGGGGCAAGTCCCCATGCTCAGCCACCCCAGGCTCCTGTTGCTGACGATTGCTTAGTACAAAAAGTCATCTGCTCTGTTAAGGTATCTGGAGAGAAGGCTGGGCCAGAAGGAAGGGGGACTGAAGACCCCTCCCCCAGCACAGCCCTCCTAGGCAGGGCTGCATGCGCTAAGCCAAGGCCAGGGACCCATGTGGCTTCTCCCCAGCCTGCTCTTTTGCCTCTCTCCTTTCTGTTCTGAGCGCTGCCGCTGAGTGTCCGGATGGGCAGACGTCCTGCGTGTCCCCACCCTCCCAGTTCCCTGGCAGGGGGCCAGCTCACAGGCCATCTGCTCAGGGCCTATTTTTGCCTTGGTCCGTGCGATGGGTGCTGAGCCCGGTTGGAGAAGCCGGTCTGAGTCATGGCACCACCTGGTCCCACCTGAGACCCCTCTGCTGTGCCCTCAGGAACGGTGACAAGTATGAAGGTGACTGGATCCAGGACTGGCGCCAGGGACACGGGGTGCTGCGCTGTGCTGATGGCTCCACATATGAGGTACCTGTCCCCCTGTGAGGCTCTGTGCGGGGCAGGGGCTCCAAGGATTGCCTGGCAGCCAGCATCCTCAAGGGGAAGCGCAGGGCACCATGAGCCCCTCACACCACGGGCACTGAGTCCCCTCTAGCTGTCCTGGGCTCAGTTGGAAGTAGGGTGGTGAGAACTCCGAGTGCCCCCTGGTGCCCTCCTGCATCCGGGACATCCCCCGGATGGGAGCCTAGGGCCTGGCTCTGAGGCCAGAGGCTCCAGTTGAGCTGCAGGAAGGAGAAGGAGTGTGGGGACTGAGGGCTGGGGGAGGCCTGAAGCAGACCGCCTCCTCCCCTGCGAGCACCCAGGCCCCGAGGGAGCACCGTGGAGGGGCGCTGCGTGGGCACTGGCTGCTGTCCCCAGAGCTGATGTGTGGGGTCTGTGCACCAGAGAGGGCAGTTGGGACTGGGACAGCAGTCTTGGGCTCCTGTGGGTAGACTGTGATTGTACCCACGTCAATCATTAGGAAACTGGAGGGAAAGAGGGTGCCTGGAGCCAGGCACAGTGGCGCACATACCTGCAATCCCAGCTATTGGGAGGCTGCGGCAGGAGGCCCGCAAGTTTAAGGATCGTCTGGGCAACTTAATGGGACTCCATCTCAAAAAGGACTAGGGACATCTGGAAAGATGGTGGCATGGTGAAGAGCAGAGAAACAGCCTCTCCAAGGCTTGGTGTCCAGATACTGTAGCAACATGAGGAAGGAAAGGAGAGAAATGGGTCCCTGGGACCCGTGGGGACCTGCCATGAGAATCAAAGCCCAGGGGGAGATCAAAGAAAAAGGCCTCAACGCACAAGAAGGAGGCGACAAGCAGTGCTTTCTCCCTGGTCCCTGGTTTGCTGCTTGGGGGGGGGGGGGCAGCTCGAACCTGCAGGCGCATGGTGACCACTGGTGACCCCAGAGACCTCCACGGAGAAACCCACCAGCGGAGCAGAGCAGTGCAAGCACTGGACTCCAGTGGCTGGTGAGTTGTCCGGGTCGGGATGACCCCAGGAGAAGGCGACTGGCTGGGAGCCATCTTGGAGACAGGCCAGCTCCATCTGGTCGCTCCCATTGTCGGGGTGAGGCGGAGCGACTTCCAGCCCCTCAGAGGTCAGGGAGCCGAGCTCGGGCCAGCGGGAGACACTCCAGAAGCCAGCCTGGACTCGAGTGGGACGAAAGGGGCAGGCTCGCTGGGCTGCCACTGCCCCAGCGTAGGCCCTGGCTGGCTACTGGGATTAATAAGCACAGATGTGGGCCCTGCTGACTGCCTACCAGTCATAGCAGAGAGCCCCTTGAGACGGACATTTTCCTTGCCTCTTCTTCTCTATTTTTGTTTTGTTTTTTATTGTTTGTTCTTGTTCTTATGCCAGCATGAACACGGTCTCTAGGCTTGTCGTCGCTGTTTTGTTCTTGTTCTTGCTTCCCCCTTGCTTTCCCTTCTGCCTTCTTTCCCAGGTTCATGTACCCTTCCTTTGTCCTTGAGCCTTATGTCTAATCTCTTCTTCTATTTCTCTGTTTTTTCCCCAAGTTCTTTTAAGTTTTCTCCCCTGAGGGTACAATCCCCGTGCTGGTGGCACAGCCATGGCCTTCTGGCTTGTTTTAGATGTTGCCGTAGAGCTGCCAGCCCAGCTCACGCAGGTACGGCTGGCAGGTGAGCGCCAGCCTGTCACGCTGCACGCTGTGCCCAGCGCTGTTGCTGCTGCGGACGGTACCACCTTAGCCGAGGCGAAATAACCGTTCTAACCAGTTGTTCCTCCTGGTGTGCAAAGACCGAGATAGCCTAAGGGTCATAAGCAGTTCCTTAGGACAGTGCCGAGGAACCAGGGCCCAGGCCAACTTCTCTCCCTAGGAAGCTGAAGATGTAGGATCTGGCTACGGAGTTAAAGATCCAAAAGCCAGCCACACCTGGAAGATAGCTCTGAGGCATTTCCTAAGGTTCTAAAGACTAGCAACACAGCTGCCTGGGGCCGGGGAGCTGGCTCAGTAGAACAAGTGCTTGCCTGGTAAGCGCAAGGGCCTGAGTTCAATCTCTGGCTCTGCAAAAAAAAAAGAGAAAAAAGGGGCTGGTGAGATGGCTCAGTGGTCTAAAGCACCTACCTAGAACAAGCTAAGCAAAGTACAGGGACCACGGTTCAATCCCCCAGCACCACATGCCAGGCAGCCGCGCCCCCCTGGTGGGCTGAGCTGGCCACACACACACATAAATAAATAAATTTAAAAAAAAAATAAAAAAAACAGCTACCTGCCTTAAGCCATTTGTAAGCATCAACCCAGGAGTTAAAGTTTTTAAAAAGTAAAAAAATGAGAAGGCACTTAAGCAAGATACAGCCCCAGACTTCAGCTCACCACAGGCAAACCCAGAAGGCAGTGAGATAGAATGACTTGGAAGGTGCCTGCCGGGACTGTCTTGGGTGCTCGCAGCAGAAGTAACAAAGCAGATAAATCAGGCTCAAGGAAAAAAATCCTAATTCTTTCTCAGATGACTGACTGCAAAGATGGTGGCCATAATGAATGAAATGATTTAGTGACTCTAGAGAAAGTACAGATTTTAAAAATAGAGGCTCTGGCTGGGGAGCTGGCTTGGCGGGGGCTAGCGCTGCCTGGCCAGCACAAGAACCTGGGTTCGATCCCCGGTACCACATGCTGTGCTGGCCCCAGAACTGGGCGGGGTGGCTCTTGCTTGTAAGCCCAGCACTCGAGAGGCTGAGACAGGAGGATCGTTACGAGTCTGAGCTGCATAGTGAGACCCTGCCTGTACCAAATAAATAAAGATTTTTAAAAGTACAAGTTCCTAGAAAAATGATGGAAACCATAAATGCTGAACATAGGAAAGAAACAGACTCCATGAAACACATTCAGGCACGTATCCAGATTAAAAATCCCATTGAAATTGTGTGCAGCAGGATGAGCTACTGTGAGGACGGCCTGCCAGGCACAGAAGGCAGGATTGGGATGCGTGATTTTTTTTTTTTTTAATTTTTGGCTTATGCTGCTGAGCTATCTCCCCAGCCCTGTAGTTAGTGACCTTGCAAAGAAAGATTTCTTAAAAATAGCACAGGACCATAAAATATCAATCCAATATCTGCCAGGTGATGCAAAGCAGAATAATATAAGATTGATTGGATAAAGCTGGGAATACAGCTCAGCAACACATTACCTGCCTGGCAAGGAAAAGGTCTTGAGTTTAACTCCTGGTATCAAAAAATAGGCTGATTAGAGTCAATGAAAAAGAAGGAGGGGCCAGGGAGATAGCTCAGTGACCTAAGCACCTGCTTGGCAAGCACAAGGTCCCAAGTTTGATCCCTGGCCCTGCATGCCGTGCCACCCCAAGGACTCCAGGTGCCCCAGTCTGGCCCCATAAACTGGCATGGTGGTGCACACCTGTAATCCCAGCACTCAGAAGATTGACACAGAGGGATTGCTGCGAGTTCGAAACCAGCCTGGGGGCTACAAAAGTGAGCATAAGGCCAGCCAAAACAGGGCGAGACCCTGTCTCACCAAAGAAAAAGAAAAAAAGAGAGAGAGGAGATTGTACAAATGACATAAAAACCTGTGCACAGAAGTAACAACAGAAAACTTCCCAAGCATCGAAAAAGAGTTTGACATACAGACAAGTAGGGCATACAGAACTTCAAATAAATATGATCAAAAAAAAAAAAAATCTGCACCGAGGCATATCATAGCCAAGAGTCCAGAAATTTGATACAAGAACATAATATTAAAAGCTTTTAAAGAAAAGAAACAATTAACAAAGGAAAGCCCATGAGAATCACAGGTTACTTGTCAACACAAACCCTCAAGTCAAGGAGAGCGTGGAGTGAAGTATTTCAAGCTCCAAAAGAAAACAACTCCAAGCCCGGATGGATGTGCCCTGCAAAACGATTTTTTAAAACTTATAGAGAAATTGGGGCCAGGGAGATGGCTCAGTAGAATAAGCGCTTCTCTGGCAAGCACAAGGGCCTGAGTTCAATCCCTGGTTCCTCAAAAAAAAAAAAAACTTATTGTTGCGCACGACCTCGCCAGCAAGGAAGACGCAACACACAGCTCTTCCTTCAGCGGCTTATTCAGGCCCCTTACAGCAAGCTTCTTCCCCAATCCCCCAGCCCTTGGCTAATATATACTCCCGAGCCCAATCCCAGTGCGCCACGTGGGGATCGCCCATGGGTCCAGCATATGCGGAAGCGAATCATGACTGCAGCCCTGGCCATATAAGGAGTTGTGCGCAGAGAGCGCTCACCCACGGGGGTGGAAGGCGGAAACCAGCGCAATCCTGTAGGCGCGGTCCTTCGCAGCTCTCCACAACTTATAGAAAAATAAATAACTTCCATGACAACGCCAGAGGAAATTTATAACCACCAAAGCAGCACTTCAGAATGCTCTGAAGGACATTCTAGAAAAAGATAACAAAGTCTACAACTCCATGAACGCCATCAGAATGAACCTACCAGGCAGGGCAAGCAATTAGATGGGGAGAGTACAGGGGGGAATCGGCAACAGGAAAATAGTAGACAAGGGTAAGTCAATACATACCAGTTATAACCATCAATGTAAATGGTCTCAGTTCAACTACAGACTGGCAGAGTGGATCAAGAAGCAAGATCTAACAGTATACTGCATTTAAGAAACACATTTAGTTCAAAAAGAAATTAATAGACTGAAAGTCAAAGGATGGAAAACAATACTCCATGCAACAGGAATCCAGAAAAAAGCAGGGGTAGCTATTCTCTTTGCAGACAAAGTGGATTTCAAGCCAAGACTGCTTAAGAGGAACAAAGAATATCACTCCATCCTTGTAAAAGGAACAATGCAAGGTGAAGAGGTGCCCAGCACCAAAATACATGGAACAAGTAACAGTGCGCTGACCGTAAAAAACATGTGAAAAATCAAATAAGCACTAATACAGTTGAAGGGCGACCCCACTGTGTCAGTGGCACAAATAAACTAGACAAAAAAAATCAGAATTAAACCCAGCTTTTGAACAAAAGGACTTAGA